AGTGTTGTCGCTTAACTTTTGATGTATTACATGTAACTTCAAGCCAAGGGCTTAATGTGTAAACGAGTTAGTACTCTTTTGTTGTAACCAAGTGTTAACTTGGAAAGCTGTAAGCCCGTAGGGCATTTTGTTTTGATGTTGACATGTAATACTTATGTAATGGAATTCTAATGAATAAAAGAATGTGGTTAGTTTATATGTAAATGCATGTCTTATCTGATGGGTTTATTGTTGTTATTTTGAGGGCGTTACAGCAATTAAATGGTTTCCTCTAAAATTTTCACGCCTTTGACGACAATATTAATTTTTGGTCGGCAAATGTTATTATTTGTGACTAAAATATTTTAGTTGCTAAACATTTTTTCATTTCCATTTTTTTTTGTCTTCCCTCTTCGACTTTTGCCGACTAAATTTCAATTTGATCGTAGAAAATTATGTTTTGGCAACTAAAAAAATATTAGTCAGCAAAACTCAAAACCTTTATCGGGCGCTACCAGTATAAATTAAGTTTAAGATGAAGATCACAGAAGCAAAGTTTAGCAAGGCAGCTTCAAGAATCGTTATCGGGCGCTACCAGTATAAATTAAGTATAAGATGAAACTATAAGATAAAATTTAAGTGTTATGAATTTTAGGCTTTCACAACCCAAAAAAAAGAAAAACAAGAAATCACATGTTCCTTGAATCATTTTATAGAAAGAGAGGGATATTTATACCTCAAATTGTTTTTAGGGAGAGTTGAAGATACTCTAGAAAATGAGGATGGTGAAGGTCCTGGTGGGTGAGACATTGTAGAACAAAATTACTTTAGTCAAAGAGAAAACAAAGACAGAGAGAGTCATAGAGTGAGAGAGACAGATATTAAGAGAAGAGAGGCAGAGAGAGGGACAGAGAGAAGGCGAAATAGAGAGGACATACTGGGGTAATGCTCTAATAGTGGATCGACGGTGGTACTCGATGGTAGTGATGCTCCTTACTCGATGGTGATGGAAACAAAGCGACAGAGATTCAATATCAGGAGGAGGGCAGTAATGGAATGAGAGAGACAGAGGCGTGAGAGAATCGGAAGAGGTCAGATGCGAGAGAGAGAAAGAGAGTTACAGAGTGAGAGAGAGACGCGTTTAAGCCCTAACTCATTTTAGTGTGTTTGAAATCCCTCCAGAGTTCCTTACCAAATTAATTTAAAAATCCCTCCAAAATGAAAAATGAGTATGTTATTGTCCCTACCCTACCTCCTTTTCCTTCTATAAGAGGGCTAGTGTTTGTGTGTGTTCACAAGCTCAAGCAAGCACCTTGTGTGTGTGAGTGTTTACAAATTCGCTCTCCTGCACCACTTTTTTTTTTTTTTTTTTTTTCAAACCATGGTTTAAAAGGGGGGGGAACCCCCTTTTAAAAAAAAAAAAAAAAAAAAAAAAAAAAATCAAAGATTATTTCTATTTTCTTTATTTTTTTGTACTTTTTTTTTTGGGTAAAAAGTTAAAAAAACTATTTCCAAGCACTTAAATTGTTTTCAGTTTTATATTTTAATCAAAAATCCAAAAAATACTAAAAAAATAAATTCTCAAACCTATTCATAATTTCTCCATAAGTAGTGCAATTTTAGCTCAAAAGTTAGATACATTTTTCAATCTTAATAATGTAATACTCTATTAAAATATCTAAGCTAAATATATCTCTCATGTATTTTTTTAATCATCAATCAATTATCTTTTTGTACATATTATTGGATTTAAAAAATATATTTAAAAGGTGATCAATTTGTATGTCATTCAGAAATGTTTGAGATTTTCATAAATCTTTCACAATTTAACTCATAATCTATATAATAAAGTAAGAATATTTTTAAATTTTTAATATATTTTTGTCTTACTAGGACACACTACAAGAAATAAGGGTTTTGGCGACGTTTTTTTAACGGCGTTTTCTTAAACGTCATTTTTATTAATATTTAACGACGTTTTAAAAACGTCGCATATTTGTTTAATTAAAACGACACCGTTTTATGATCAAAGGCGTTTAAAAACGCCTTCAAATGCGGTATGTCACACGCGCTTATTTTGAATCTGATAATAAAGCCTTTGTAAACCCTTAGGTCTTCAGACCTCTCAATCCTCTCTAACCCTTATCCTCACGTCGCCTCTCTCTCAATCCTCTCTAAACATTGAATCTCACATTCAAATCTCACAGATTCACCAATTTCGAAGCTCTACCTCCACCGCCATCTGCACCGGCGAGGTAGCGAGATTCATCGATTCACCGATTTCATAGATTCACCAATTCAAATCTCACAGATTCACCGATTTCAGATCGATCTGCATCGCCACCGCGATTTCGATTCAGATCGGTCTGCACTGCCACCCCGATTTCGATTCTCTCTCTAGATCTCTCTCAGAGATTCATCTTTGATTTCATCTCAGTGCGATTTTGATTTCTCTTCTCTCTCAATTTCAAAGCTCCACCGCCACCACCATCTATGCAAGCTTCCATGGCTTAGCACCTCATCTTCTTATCTCTTCTACTTTGTATATACATATACATATATGTATATTTATCGATTCTTTCATGTACATACACGTATCTCTATAGACACCGATCGATAATAGAGCAGAGCTTCTTCGATTTGATATATTTTCTACACTGCCCAGGCCTCGCCGAGACATTCCTTGACGCTTTACTCTCCTCAGTCCCGATTTGGCTCGCTATCATGATCAGCCTTGTTATCGGTTGGTCCTGGCGCCCTAGGTGGACCGATTTGGCTCACTGTTATTCCTCAAGGATTTTTAGTTGTTAATGATATGATATGAATGTTTTTAGCTGATTTACCCGCTAGATAAATTCTAATTCTGAGCAGCCTGATGTTCAGAATTTTATTTGTTGGATAATCATAAAGTTGGCTTTCACCTTATTACATGGAGTCTAAATGTTGTCATTTTTGGATTTGTAGATTGTTGTTCATCGAAGTTTTGCAGTAGTAGATAATCTTGGTGAAGTTTCTGCAAACACACAGGTTATAGATTTCCTATCATATGCAGTGTATTGTGCTTTGTATCTTATTTATATAACTGAAATGATCTTTGGTTGGGTTTCAGATTCAAACAGTGTGCTTCGATAGCCTTGGTCTTATGCTTGCGCCTTGAACATTTTGTTCAGAAACAATCTAAGGTTTTTACTTTTCATCTTCAGATTTTAAATAAGTTCCACAGTGCCACTGTTAATCTTCATCAAATTGATATTCTATGATCGTCCTAGCCTTTTGTGATAGCTAAGTTGACCATAGTGTACATCTTACTGCTGCAATTCATCATTGTAGAATTCTTTTCCCCTGTTTACATTATATTGCAATATGTTTAATATTGATTAGTTTGCTAAAAATTTCTATTTTATATAACCTGTGCTCCCCATGAATATGTGATTGAAAGGTATAAAAAATTTATGACTTTTTAACTGATGTGATGTATCCAATTTGCTGATATGATTATGGCACTTATGCTTTACTTGGCTCCCTAACTGATAATTTTTCATTAATATGAAAGGTTGCAAGCAAGTTTGCCTTTTGTTGTGCCCCCAATCTTCTCAGCAATCGACCTCATTGGAGTTTATCAAGGTTTGAAGCATGTTCATCTGCAGACATTAACTAAGGTTGGTCTTTTATGCTTGTACTAAACTAACAGTCATTCTATTGACATTATTGGGTGTGTATATGAGAACTTCAATAAAGGTGTTGCTCACATATTGAGACTACTTTGTGTTTTTAAAGAATGTAAATTTTGCTCCCTATTTGATGAGTTCCCCTCGTTTGGCCCCAACTTGCCATCTCCTGGTACCAAGGTGTTTCCCATTCACTACAAGAAATAAGGGTTTTGGCGACGTTTTTTTAACGGCGTTTTCTTAAACGTCATTTTTATTAATATTTAACGACGTTTTAAAAACGTCGCATATTTGTTTAATTAAAACCACACCGTTTTATGATCAAAGGCGTTTAAAAACGCCTTCAAATGCGGTACGTCACACGCGCCTATTTTGAATCTGATAATAAAGCCTTTGTAAACCCTTAGGTCTTCAGACCTCTCAATCCTCTCTAAACCCTTATCCTCACGTTGCCTCTCTCTCAATCCTCTCTAAACATTGAATCTCACATTCAAATCTCACAGATTCACCAATTTCGAAGCTCTACCTCCATCGCCATCTGCACCGGCGAGGCAGCGAGATTCATCGATTCACCGATTTCATAGATTCACCGATTCAAATCTCACAGATTCACCGATTTTAGATCGATCTGCACCGCCACCGCGATTTCGATTCAGATCGGTCTGCACTGCCACCCCGATTTCGATTCTCTCTCTAGATCTCTCTCTCAGAGATTCATCTTTGATTTCATCTCAGAGCGATTTTGATTTCACTTCTCTCTCAATTTCAAAGCTCCACCGCCACCACCATCTATGCAAGCTTCCATGGCTTAGCACTTCATCTTCTTATCTCTTCCACTTTGTATATACATATACATATATGTATATTTATCGATTCTCTCATGTACATACACGTATCTGTATAGACACCGATCGATAATGGAGTAGAGCTTCTTCGATTTGATCTATTTTCTACACTGCCCAGGCCTCGCCGAGACATTCCTTGACGCTTTACTCTCCTCAGTCCCGATTTGGCTCGCTGTCATGATCGGCCTTGTTATCGGTCGGTCGTGGCGCCCTAGGTGGACCGATTTGGCTTGCTGTCATTCCTCAAGGATTTTTAGTTGTTAATGATATGAAATGAATGTTTTCAGCTGATTTACCTGCTAGATAAATTCTAATTCTGAGCAGTTTGATGTTCAGAATTTTATTTGTTGGATAATCATAAAGTTGGCTTTCACCTTATTACATGGAGTCTAAATGTTGTCATTTTTGGATTTGTAGATTGTTGTTCATCGAAGTTTTGCAGTAGCAGATAATCTTGGTGAAGTTTCTACAAACGCACAGGTTATAGATTTCCTATCATATGCAGTGTATTGTGCTTTGTATCTTATTTATATAACTGAAATGACCTTTGGTTAGGTTTCAGATTCAAACAGTGTGCTTCGATAGCCTTGGTCTTATGCTTGCGCCTTGAACATTTTGTTCAGAAACAATCTAAGGTTTTTACTTTTCATCTTCAGATTTTAAATAAGTTCCATAGTGCCACTATTAATCTTCATCAAATTCATATTCTATGATCGTCCCAGCCTTTTGTGATAGCTAAGTTGACCATATTGTACATCTTACTACTGCAATTCAACATTGTAGAATTCTTTTCCCCTGTTTACATTATATTGCAATATGTTTAATACTGATTAGTTTGCTAAAAATTTCTATTTTATATAACCTGTGCTCCCCATGAATATGTGATTGAAAGGTATAAAAAATTTATAACTTTTTAACTGATGTGATGTATCCAATTTGCTGATGTGATTATGGCACTTATGCTTTACTTGGCTCCCTAACTGATAATTTTTCATTAATATGAAAGGTTGCAAGCAAGTTTGCCTTTTGTTGTGTGCCCAATCTTCTCAGCAATCAACCTCATTGGAGTTTATCAAGGTTTGAAGCATGTTCATCTGCAGACATTAACTAAGGTTGGTCTTTTATGCTTGTACTAAACTAACAGTCATTCTATTGACATTATTGGGTGTGTATATGAGAACTTCAATAAAGGTGTTGCTCACATATTGAGACTACTTTGTGTTTTTAAAGAATGTAAATTTTGCTCCCTATTTGATGAGTTCCCCTCATGTACTATCTCAAGTTTTTGGCTTTAGTCTCCCATAGGTAAGTTGTGCCTGACAAGCTAATGCTCAAAAAATGTTTTATTGATAGATTCCTAAAAATGTTTGGATATCATGCCTCCATTAGATAACTTGTTTATGCATTACATTCTCTTGATTTTTTTTCCTTCATTAATCAACCCTTTTTTTTTTTGGTTGTCTTGCTATCAAAATTCAAAACCAGTTTCAATAGATAATCAGTAATTACTGTGCCATTGCCTGCAACAAACCACATGATTTTTACTGTGCCATTGCTTGCTTCAAGCCACCCACAGAAATAAATTCCCCAACTCCTTTGTGTGATGTTCTTGGAAATGAGTCCCTGTTGGAGTACATATTCTCCAACAATGCTCCATTGTTTTAGGGATGAAGGAAATGTCTGTATTCTCTTTAGAATGCTTTGTAGTATTGCTTCTTATTATCCATTTCTCGTTGTCAAGATAGGCTTGAGATTATAATTAATACTTGGATTCAGTTGGGATGTATCCCTTCACCTGCAGATGTGAGTGAAGAGAAAGGTATTGATTTCATGTGGAACAAAGGTGAGGTCTTGCACCTTAATTTTTCCATAAATATGTTTATTGCTTTTATATGGGGTGCTTTAGAATTAGATACTGGCATTTAGTGAGATCTGGATTAGGCAGAGGATCGTAGCCCATAAGAATTGGTTGCTTAAACCCCAAAAGTCAATTACCAAGGTTGTCGATGATGACTATGCGATCTTTGAATAATGAAGACTTCTATTTCATATGTCCGGAGATCCTTTGCAGTGGAATGGCAAAAACTTGGCAAGTGAGTATATTATGATTTGTCTGGCCCTTCTTCCTTACCTTGCTTATGATCTGTCTGGCCCTGTAGTTTGCGCATTTGGGTTCTTCTGCTATTTTCCATAAATTGGTTTATTCAACTATTTCTTGTGTTTAATTATTCTGTTGCTAACATGTGTTTAGGTCAAGAATTCAAACAGAGCATCGGTTATCAGTTATTGAGGTACTCTTTTCTGGATAATGTTGTTACCTGTATATTTTTTTTATTGTTGTACCTTTTCCACACCAAAAGATTCATGTTCTCTACTTTTCCTTCTAAACCCGTATCAAAGATTCACCTTTTCTCTCTTAAAAATCACAGGTGTTCCTCTATTTTTTATGCCAATATCCACACACCAGGTTTTTCCCATTTAAATCCACATATATGTGTCTCTTTGTGTTTTTATGTATATATTTTTGTTTGAAGGGTTATTGAGAGTATGGTGTTTTGAATTGCTTTAGTTTCTCAACTTTATGTGGAGATCCTAGAAGAGAATGGTATTGACTTGGCAGAAATGAAGGTTTTGAGGAGGAAAATGGAGAAGATAACAATCTTTGTAAAGCAGGGCAGTACTACCACTTAATTTGCCCAATTAGTTAAAAGTACATTAAACATGGTGTGTTATATATTTGTTTATTAAAACAGAAGAAAAGTGGATTGGATCATTCTTTTTTCTTCCAGTATAAATGTTTATTTATGTTTTGCTTTTCTTTTTACTGTAGTGCAAAGGTGGGGATTCAGAGGAGAAGAGCTTATCCCTTTATATCACTGCAAATGGGTAAATTGTCCGTATTTCTTTTATTATTTTTTTCTGTTTTCTTGCTTGGCAAAACCCTATATACATGCAGTAGCTGCAAGTAATGGATATTTTCCACCAAACATCTCATCCACATCTCTATCACTAAACCTTATTTTAGATTGGAGACATAGACTCTTTCGGTACGATAGACAACTTCTTTATTTCAATCCATGAATACAAGAGAAAGAAATGCCTTCATTTAAAGTTGCCTTTATTAATCCTGACTTACAATTTTCTCAAGCGAACGATGAATCCTGGGTTATTTTTAGCAGCTGATAATCCTTCTATTTTGATTTTTGTTTCTAGGCTCATGTCCCCACAAAGTAAATTTAGATATCATGTAAAAGGTTTTGAAACTAATAGAGAACACTAATATAGTTTCCTATAAATAAAAAAAATTATCCTGATCTGATCCTAAGTTCCTGTTTATTTGATATTAATTTCTCCTTTGATTTTTCAATTGAGAACATTGACTATTTTTTTATGATTTGTCCAATAAACAGAAGGAAAACACTACTACTCTAGTACATATATTGTTTGTTTATTTTTTTCCTTTATTGGTAACAAATGAAATTTTATTAAAGAAAATAAAAAGCGGAATCCCCTTAAAAGGAGGAGAAATCGAAGCCTAAAAGGAGGACAAATATCCCATAAAGAATCAATTTCCTCGAACTTATACACTTTAGTACTTATATTGTTAAAGGAACTAATCTCATGATTACTCTTGATCGGATTAAATTGTCCAGAAGCAGCCATGCAAAGTTTACAGTTGGCTCGCCAACACGCATCAAGTGAACATGAACGTCTAGTTTATGAGGGATGGATCTTATATGATATGGGTCATTGTGAGGAAGGGCTACGGAAAGCAGAGGACTCTATAAGTCTTATGAGATCTTTTGAGGCCTTCTTTTTGAAAGCCTATGCATTGGCAGATTCTAGCCATGATTTATCTTGTTCTTCTACTGTCATATCACTTCTTCAAGATGCCTTGAAGTGCCCCTCAGATCGGCTTCGAAAGGGTCAGGTATGGTTTTCTCTTACCCTATATTTCATTGAGGCTGCAACTTGCAATACAATTAATCATTATGGAATAGTCATCTAGAATAGTAGTTACGCTCCGTTAGTTTGGATAGAGAGTATTTTTTGGAAAACTTTTTCCATATTTTTTGGCATTTGTACGATGGAAAATGAAAGTCAATAGAAAACAAACTTTTGAGTGGAAAAATGTTTTCCACTGTTGAAAGGTGGGAAATGTTTTCTAAACTACAGTCTTACCAATGTCACCACACTACTGCTGCTACCACCTCCACCACAACTGCAACCCCAACCTCACCACTACCACTATCAACCAGACATTGGAAAATGTTTGCTCAACACTGTACATTTTAAGATCATACCTGACCCTTTCCTTATAGATATCGGGCTGCAGGTGAACTCGGTTATGTGGGGGAGAAAGGCAAAACATATATGAAGACACTACAAAATAGATTTTAATCTGTAATTAGATGGAATGGAATAACAGAGTAAGAGTTGAGTGACAGGACTAGGATTTGAGGAAGTCATATGGTAACTGGTAATCAGAATTTAGCCGACGATAAAAAACTAAAGGATTCATTCACTAAAATAGCATAACAAGGCAACAAAGTAACATTCTTTCAAGAAAAGTTCTGTGAAAAAGGTAATCATTTGTTAGAAAGAGGGGATTATGGGAGATTTTCAACTTTGAGCATGTTCAAAGCAAATTTGAGAAAAAAATAATTCTAGTCTCATCAAATTTAGATTCAAACTACATAGATTTTGACTATTGACAAATATCGGGATTGATTAAACTTGAGTAAGACTAAAATCCAAGCTGCATAATTATCAACTAACAAGTACATTGCTGATTTAGAGATTTTTTCTTCACTTCAATCTGTTCCTGTAGCATAGCATAAAATAATAAAAATAAAAAATAAATAAACCAAAATTTCTAATATTGGCTAATCCTTGTCTGATTGTTGAAATTTTCAGGCTCTGAACAATCTTGGAAGTGTTTATGTTGACTGTGGGAAACTAGACTTGGCAGCTGATTGCTACATCGATGCCCTTAAAATCCGGCACACCCGAGCCCACCAGGGTCTTGCTCGGGTCCACTTTCTCAGAAACAATAAAACCGCTGCATATGAGGAAATGACTAAACTGATTGAGAAGGCTCGGAACAATGTGTCTGCCCATGAGAAAAGGTCAGAATACAATGAACGTGAACTCACAAAGGCTGATCTAGAGATGGTCACTCATTTAGATCCCCTCCGCGTCTATCCTTACAGATATCGGGCTGCAGGTTAGACATTTTCCTAAAGTTTCTTTAGTAAATTTTAAGGCTTTCTATTTGATGTTGCCATGAAGCAAGCTCAAAAGTACCTGTTAGTTCCTCAACACCGTAGGTTTTGATGTTTGTGTGTGTGTGTGTGTATGTGTGTTTGCGTGTGTGTGTGTTCTCTCTGCTAGGAAAATGATTTTGGTTGGAATCAGAAGTCATGAATTTTATTTGTTGTATTTTAAATAATTTTGGACCCTTTGATTTGAAGATCACATCCCTCACTTTTTGAGAGCGATCAAATATTTAAAAAAAAATGATTCTTCTTTTTCTTTGCCAAAGCTTGGTAGTCCGAATTTTCATAGCCCGAATAGCTCGAATGTCTCAAAACGATGTCGTTTTAAAACAACATCATTTTGGGGATAAAACGACGTCGTTTTGATACATTCGAGCCATTTGGACGACACAAATTCAAGTTACCAAACATTTTTCTTAACATTATTGTCGTGTAAAGTTGTTTTCATGTTATTTGGTATTGAACCGGATTGTGTTTTTTTGTTTTTGGGTTTGGTTAGTGTTGATGGACAACCACAAGGAAAAAAAAGCGATAGCGGAATTGTCAAGAGGGATTGCATTCAAAGTGGACCTCAACCTGCTACACTTGAGGGCAGCATTTCACGAGCATATCGGTGATGTTATGGGTGCCTTGCGAGACTATCGAGTTGTTGTCTCTGTTGACCCAAGCCATGAGATGCTGGAACTTCACAGCAGTCGAGAGCCATGAACCCCCAAAACACAAAATAGAATAAAATATCATGGACTGTCCATGTTTATCTTCTTTATAATTTTTTGGTAATCAATATCATGGACTGTCCTCACCACTGTTTCCTTCATACTTTTCCAAGTGGCATGGATTCATCAAGAATCAACACTTAAAACTACGGTAGAGTGAGTGTTAATTTATTTAGGAATGGATCAGCTACTGCTTGGATTGAACTTATAGATGTGAGGGAATAGTAATCTCACAGAAATATGTCTGTACAAAGTTTTATTCATTATTGCTATTTTACAGGTATATTTTTAAAGTTAAATCTTACAAAATTAGTAGTTTAAAAAAAAGGAAAAAAATCTATTGCGACGTTTTTCAAAACGTCACTATAGTTATATTTTTAAAATAACAAAAAAGTTATTACGACGTTTTTGAAGCGTTGTGGAATGCCTGTGTGACGTCATATTACCATTGGCTGCCACATTTAGAGGCGTTTTTTATAAACGCCGCCTATACTAATTTTACGACGTTTTTAAAGCGTCTTAAACTTATAGCGACGGTCGCATCCTCGACGTTTGGTGGTACGCGTCACTAAAGGAATTAGCGGCGTTTTTCATATATATAGCGGCATTTTTAAAACGCCGCTAAAAGTCATTTTTCCAACAGTGATTACTTTGCGCAGTACCCAATCGCCGATCTTGAATTGTCTTGGATGTACCTTTTTGCTGTATTTTCTGATTAACTCTCGTTGGTATGAAGCGATATGAACCAATGCCCTTTCTCTTCTTTCTTCCGCAAGGTCGAGTTCCAACGCTATGGCTTCTTCATTGAAGTCTGGATCAAAATTTTCGCTTCGGATTGTGGGGAGGCCAACTTCCAGTGGGATTACTGCTTCTATTCCATAGGCTAAGGAGAATGGTGTCTCTCCTGTTGATCGTCGAGGTGTGGTGCGGTAAGCCCATAAAACATGAGGAAGTTCGTCCGCCCACTTGCCTTTTGCCTTCTCTAGTCTTTTCTTAAGTCCATCCAAGACGACTTTATTTGATGCTTCTGCTTGGCCATTTGCTTGAGGATATGCCGGTGTAGAATTGTAGAACTCTATCTTGTATTCTTCACAAAAGCTTCTGAAGATTCTGCCGTCGAACTGAGTGTCATTGTCATTGTCTGAGGCTTTTGGTATGCCAAACCGAGTGATGATATTCTGCCAAACGAACTTCTTCACATCTTTTTCTTTGATTGATGCCAATGCTTCTGCTTCCACCCACTTTGTGAAGTAGTCTGTTCTAGCGATAAAGAACTTCCTGTTACCGGGTGCTGTTGGAAGCGGTCCTACTATGTCCAAGCCCCAACACTTGCGAAAGGCCATGGGCTTGGTCAATGGTAGGAGTTCTCTTGCTGGTTGGTGAATTTGGTGTGCGAATTTTTTGGCATTTTTCACACTTCTTTGACATATTTCTCTGAGTCTGCCTGCATGTATGGCCACCAGTAAACCTTGTGAAATACCCTGTAAGCTAACGATCTTATCCACCTTGTGGCTTCCGCACACCCCTTTCATGTATCTCGTATAAGGAAAGCTTCTTACTTTGCTGCGGTGTACGCACTTAGCTGTTAGGGTCCTGAGAAATGACTTCTTGTATAATGCACTAAGGGATGGTGGAGCCAGAAATCGTTTGTGTAATTTCGCTTCTTTATTCGTTGGCTCTTTTTTCTCTTTCTGGTAGGATTGCCGTCTTTTTAAGAACAGGATGTGGGATCCATTACAAGAGGGGCCTAGTTCTGTGCAACATACTTCTTCTGCTTCGGAGTCTTCTATGCTTGGTCTGGGTAGGTAGTCGATCAGTAGTGGATGGGGTATGGAGGTATCTGCCATTGAAGCGACGCCTGCTAGTTCGTCTGCTCTGCTGTTTTCCTCCCTACCGATTTGTTCTATCCTTACTACTTCAAATTTCTTGATCTCTGTTCTGACCAACTCTTGGTACTTGGCCATCCTATCATCATTCGCTTCATAGTCGCCAGAAATTTGATTTACCACCAGCTGTGAGTCGTTGTAGACCATTAGTTCTGTGGCCTTCATGTAATGTGTTGACTTGAGTCCTGCGAGAAGCGCCTCATACTCCGCTTCATTGTTGGATGCTGGAAAGGCAAGGTTGATTGCTTGCTCTACAACCAGGCCGTCTGGAGAGATGAGGACTATGCCAAGTCCTGTACCATGCCGATTGGATGCTCCATCCACAAAGAGCTTCCACATCTCTCCAACGAATAACTTCCAGCAAGTGGAGGGGTCAGATGATGTCGTGGGGTCAAGGATGGTGTTTTCTTCAAGGTCCATGTTTGCTGTCTGCCCTTCGTCATCTGATTGTACTGTTGGTGAACCTTTGTTTGTTTCTTACTTGTTGTCCTTAGTCTAGTCTGCCTCGGAGTTTGACTGAGTACCTTCTACTAGGGGTTGCGCTATTCCGGCGTCAACTTCCATCCCTAGTTCGGTTGTGTCAGTTAGGTCGACCGGGCAGATATGATGACTTCCAGGAGTAAACTCTGCGACGAAGTTCGCCAAAGATTGGGCTTTTATTGCGGTTCTGGGTTGGACCTTGATATCGAATTGTCCCAACTCTACTGCCCATTTCAAAACTCGTCCAGAAAAGTTCACCCTCTCAAACAAAGCTTTGAGTGGGAAAGCTGTGAGGACGACTATGGTGTGGGCGTGAAAGTAGTGTGCCAATTTCCTGGAGGCCATCATTAAGGCTAAATACCTTGTTTCGGGCTCCTTTAGCAAGTGTCTATGCTGACATTATATAGGCATGGGCAAGATGTTGGAATTCTTCTGCATCGAACCCAACACTGCGACCTACTGCTCGTGAGACAACCGCCAGTATAAGAAGAGTTCTTTCACCAGGTACTGGAGTAAAAGCAGTGGTGGGGGAGACATATACTCCTTTAAGCTTCCAGAGCTCGTCGGCATTCTTCATACCCCTCCAACTTTGGCTTTTAAGGCAAAAAAATGGTCGTAGTCTCTGACGACCTGCTTATGAACCGGTTGAGTGCAGCTGCCATGCCGGTGAGATGCTGCACTTCTTTTACTGAGTTTGGTCTCTCTAGATCTTGGATTGCCTTGATTTGAGAGGGGTCTGCCTCTATACCTCGGTTGGTCACGAAGAAGCCCAGGAATTTGCCAGATCCTACTCTGAATGCACACTTGGACGCATTGAGGCGCAACTTGTGTTTCTTCAGGATTTCAAACATTTCGCCTAGGTCCTTAAGATGGTCATTCTCGTCCTTGCTTTTGACCACCATGTCGTCGATGTAAGCTTCCATTGTTCTGCCTAACAAAGGTTCAAACATCTGGGTGACCATCCGTTGAAATGTTGCCCCTGTGTTTTTTAGGCCAAAGGGCATGACCTTGTAACAGTATAATCCTCTTGGAGTTGTAAAAGATGTGACCTCCTGGTCTGGTTCATGCATGGCGATTTGGTGATAGCCTCTGTATGCATCCAGAAAGCTAAGTCGGTTATGCCCCATCGTTAGGTCCACCAGTTGGTCTATCCGCGGTAGAGGGAAGCTGTTTTTTGGGCATGCCTTATTGACTGTTTTGTAGTCGACGCAGACTCGCCATTTGCCATTTTTCTTTGGCACCACGACTGTGTTGGAGATCCATCTTGGGTAGTGCACTTCTCTTATTGCTCCTGCCTCCAGTAGGTTGCCTACTTCTTCCGCCACTATTTCGGCGTGGTGGAGTGCCGATCTGCGTGTGCGCTGAATGACTGGTCTGGAGGATGGGTGGATATTGAGCTGGTGACAGATGAAGTTTGGATCAATGCCTGGCATGTCGTAGGGCGTCCAGGCGAACACTTCGATGTTAGAGGTCAAGAAATTCAAGACCTCTAATCTCTCAGTGTTGGACAACGACGAACCAAGCAAAAAGAACTTATCCGGGTTCTTTTCATCTATTTTTACCTCTACCAAGTCCTCCACTGCTTTCTGATCCGCCGCTTTGCCGACGTCTGCGAATAGCTCATTACTTTCTGGTTCTTCCACCGAATGAACGTACCCTTTGGCAGCGCGACTGCCATTCATCGTGGTGAAACATTGTTTTGACATGATTTGATCTCCATATACTTCTTCAATTATACCGGAGTCGTTGGGAAACCGCATCACTTGGTGGTAGGATGATGCCACCGAACGCATGGTGTGCAGCCATATTCTGCCCAAGATGATGTTGTAAGTGGAGGGGACCTTCAATACCCAGAACTCCACTTGTTTTGTTACGCTTCCTGCTTTGACTGGAAGAATTATTTTGCCGACGAGCCACTCTGGCATGGAGTTGAATCCAATTAGGGGAGAGACTGCAGGCGCTAAGTCTTTGTCTTGTAGCTTCAGTTGTTTAAATGTATCGTAATACATGATCTCACATGAACTACCCTGGTCAATCAGAATCCGCTTGACGTCAAAATCCTTGACTCGGAGAGTGACGACCAGAGCATCATTGTGAGGACAGTATATTCGATCCAAGTCCTTATCCGAGAAGAACATGACGTTTGTTGCCTCTGTCTTTCCCTTCTTGCTGGCAGGTTGGGCACTTAACACTTCTCTAAAGTGCTCAGCCTTCTTGATTGATCCTCTGAGCTCGCATACACGCTCAGGTTCAAAGACTCCATGTATTACATTGATAATGCCTTGAGGTGGGGCGTCGATTGGCATTCCGTTGGGGTTATTGTGATCCTGGGGGGCTGGTTGCGTCCCTCATTCAATGTATTTGTCCAAGTGGCCCGCTGCCACTAACTCTTCCAGGTGTTGTCTTAATGGTGTGCAATTCTCCGTGCGGTGTCCCTTTTCTTTGTGGAAGGTGCACCGCGATCTTTCGTCATAGTCCCTCTGGGCTTCTCCTAGCTTGGCTGACCACTTGACGAAAGGCTCATCTCTTATTTCGCTAAGAATCCCATATATCGGTTTCTTGAACACCGTGGTTATGGCAGTGCGGATTCTCAACGATCTTTTATCCGGGTCTTCTCCGTTATCTC